TTTAATAGAATTTATTTTTTTATTTTTGATAAAGATCATCATGATTGTTTTATTGATTATAGCAAGGCATTTGGCTTTGCCGAACATCAGAAGTTGTGGAGTAATATGAAAAGTATGAGATTTCAAGCGCTCTTAGTAAATTTTTTTAGAACATTTATATTATGCACAGCAAGCATCCATCAAAGCAGCTGGTAAAACATCGGATTGGTTCCTGATGCAAAAGGGAATGATGCAGGGGTGCATTCTGTCACCATACCTATTCAATATTTACGCATAAAACATGAGAAATGACAAAAATGACCAGATTTTTTCTTTTTACAGTTATGAATCGCTTATAATAGGTGACAAATTTGTTTTGACAAATGACGCACTCCTCCAGTCGAGCACCGTAAATAAACAAGAAAATGTAATCACTTATGTATTTTTTAAAAAAGTGTCAACATCTTCTTAAAGTTGGAAGAATAGCAAATATCACAAACATCGAATATCTACGCTGTATAATAAATACAATTGGAGACTGTTTGATCTAATAGCAATGCAAAGAATAAACCGCATTAAAAGTTAGGCACCAGCAATGAACTCAAAATTAATATTTTTAGAGCGTGCATCTTCCCTCCAGCAATCTACCGATGTGACTTGTGGACTATGTCCAGCCTTTAGGAAAGAAAATATGGGCTCGAGCTGAAATGCAATATACAGATTCTCAGAATACCATGAACAAAGGAGAGAAGAAATCTTGTCTGGGAAGCTGAAATATTTTGGAAAAAAAAAATAGCAGAAGGCATTAAACCAGGCGGGAGGGGGGGGGGGCGCAGGGGCCGACCAACACGAAGATGGGTACAGTATATAAGTGACTTATTGAGTATGAAAGTACATGAGGCTGGAGAGCTGGCTTAAGTCTGAGTTTCTTTCAGGCAGACCGTGATGAGAGCGACATTCTGTAAAGGACCAGCTGCCTAGTGATGATTCTTTGTAAATAAGTACATAACCAAATGGTTAAAACTGAGACGATCGACTTCATTGTATCAGGTTTTATTCAAATGGCTCGGCGCCTGAGTGGTGTTTCTACGTACGCAGTTGCTGATGCTAGTTATTTTTTTTTTTATAAATACTTTAAAAACATTTGATTTTGAGTTTAAACTCCTAAAAGTAGATAGTGAGTTGTATGAGGCTTCTCACACGTGTTCTGAATCTTTTTACTTCTTCTTTTTCTGCTTTTCTTCACCTCCTTCTTCTCGTCCACAACCCTCATCCTCCTTCTTGTTCTTTTTCTTGTTGTTGTTTTGTTATTGCTGTCATTGTTCTTCTTCTTCTTCTTCTTCTTCTTCTTCTTCTTCTTCTTCTTCTTCTTCTTCTTCTTCTTCTTCTTCTTCTTCTTCCTCTTCTTCTTCTTCTTCTTCTTCTTCTTCTTCTTCTTCTTCTTCTTCTTCTTCTTCTTCTTCTTCTTCTTCTTCTTCTTCTTCTTCTTCTTCTTCTTCTTCTTCTTCTTCTTCTTCTTCTTCTTCTTCTTCTTCTTCTTCTTCTTCTTCTTCTTCTTCTTCTTCTTCTTCTTCTTCTTCTTTCTTCTTCTTCTTCTTCTTCTTCTTCTTCTTCTTCTTCTTCTTCTTCTTCTTCTTCTTCTTCTTCTTCTTCTTCTTCTTCTTCTTCTTCTTCTTCTTCTTCTTCTTCTTCTTCTTCTTCTTCTTCTTCTTCTTCTTCTTCTTCTTCTTCTTCTTCTTCTTCTTCTTCTTCTTCTTCTTCTTCTTCTTCTTCTTCTTCTTCTTCTTCTTCTTCTTCTTCTTCTTCTTCTTCTTCTTCTTCTTCTTCTTCTTCTTCTTCTTCTTCTTCTTCTTCTTCTTCTTCTTCTTCTTCTTCTTCTTCTTCTTCTTCGTCTTCTTCTTCTTCTTCTTCTTTTTCTTCTTCTTCTTCTTCTTCTTCTTCTTCTTCTTCTTCTCCCTCTTCTTCTTCTTCTTCTTCCTCTCCCCTCTTCTTCTTCTTTTTCTTCTTCTTTTTCAGCATGCGTAGCCGTTGAAGTTCACATCTCTGTATCAGCCCTCTTTTTTGTTTTCCAGTAGGTGGCTCCAAGTGTTTGTAGGTCCGCCTGTATCCTGTCTCTTCACTATTTCGTAGACTGCTTCGTAGTTTACTCACATTCAATTGTGTGTGTATTTAGTTTTTGTTTGTTTCTCTGCCAATCTCTTAATATATGTCCTAATTATTATTTTCTTTTTCAGTTTTTAATAAGGTTTTGCCTCTTTCAGATGTACCCCAGATTTTAGAGCAATAAAGAGCATTTTGATGTTAACACCTAAATAGTTTTCGCAACATTACATTTTTTTCTAGAAAGTTGTATCTTGACCCTTGATGCCAAAAGTCAGTGTTAAATATACCTTAATTATGTACTAAATATTGAGAACTGTTGCCAACTGTAGGGTTTTAAAATAACAAAAACATTTTCATTTAATAGGCTTTTTAAAATGACGAATAATTATGTCATTAAATAGATCAAAATAGCAAAAAGCATGTCGACTAATTGGGCAGCTTCCTTTGAAGTCGGAGTGCATCTGCCAGAGAGGCAAGGAACCAACAGTCTGGATTCAAGAGAATGAGATCTGTAAAACCGATGCACACGCAACACTCGGGTACCGGAGCAGGACTGCAGTTCAGCATTGGATGAGCAACCAGAACCTTCCGCCTCAGTTTACAGCTGGTGAACGCGAAGAAGAAGAAGACTAATGTCCCAACAACCATCCCTCGTTACTAGCCCTTTCGCTGCTACGTTCCCGGAAAAAGCTGTCTGCCCTGTGCTAAGCAATGCGAAAAAAACCTTCTCTGCTATGCTCAATACTTTTCTATCCTCCAAACGCAAAAGATGCGTCGGCGGTGAGGGCTATATTTTGTACACCTACACATTTTTATCCTGGTGAGTTGTGTGGTTGGTCCGAGTGGTGACAAGTCAGAGGCACGATGGTGCTCACAAACTTGACTAACGGAGTTATCACTTTTGGGGGGGGGGGGGGGGGGGGGGGGGGGGGGTGTTTGGATTTATGGAAAGAACTGTTCCCAGTCCCTATCCCAAAATTTGATTGACGAATCTATAACGGCTGCCACTGTAATCATAGTTATTTGTAGTCACCATGTTATTACATACCAAAATAAAAAAAAAATATTAAAAATAATACTTGAGTCGTCCGTTGCTAAAAGGTAGCAGTAACTGAAAGGAAAATTTACAATAAAAAAGCTACCGCTTAACGCATTGTGCTGTGTGAATGATAATAATCAATAATGTGTCTAAGTTTGTAGTCTATCGCCGCCTGCATGAGCACTGTTGTCTTAGAAATGTTTGAGATTCTCAGCAATAGTAAAAATATGTCCCTCGACATTATTTTACGGGAGTTTTTAGCAAACAGTCTTTGCTCAAGTACTCTAATTTGAGTTTCTTTGTTCTAAGCATTAGCAGACAGAGAGCAACAACAAAAAAAGTTCGTCCAAATCTGTGTCTGTCCATCGGGAAAGACGAGAATTTTTAGTGACTGAACTGTTTGAATTTACAGTAGCAGAAATACAGATAGAGCTGGAGTCATCAAAATCATGCACTACTGGTTTCAAATCATCGGTTCATCAAGACAACTGATCAATTTATTGCTGTTTTGATGGCGCTTCATTGTCGCTGCTCTCTGATTCCGACGATGAGGACCTAGGACAAGCAAACAGCTTTTTTTTTTTTTTGGACACGCCGGTTTCAGCAGTCGATACTGATGGCCTAGTCAAATATTGTTCACTGTCAGAAGTACACATTTAAAAAGTCATCTTCGCTATCACTCCTTGACAGAAGCTCCATCAATTCTTCATCAACTTTAATAAATTTTCTTGCCATTTTGTACTAAGTGTAGAATAATCCAAAAGCACAAATATATATCAGGGCACAAAATACACAGATCACCGACCACGCTGTCACGGTAAACAAAGCAACGGGATAACGCAGTATGCAGTAAACACACCTTAAACACACCTAAAATTCCCAATTCCAATTCGTCGAACAAAAATTGACTGACTTTCTACCCCACCAGGACATCACACAAGCGATAAACACCCGATGACACAATGTGCCACAATATGGGTGCGGATCACCGTGGAGAGGTCCCAGAAACCGCGTTCAGCCTCTAGGCCATATTTATAACAAAAACATTTTCATTTAATAGGCTTTTTAAAATGGCGAATAATTATGTCACTAAATAGCAAAAAGCATGTCGACTAATTGGGCAGCTTCCTTTGAAGTCGGAGTGCATCTGCCAGAGAGGCAGGGCTTCAAATAAATAAAAATGTTGTCCTAAAAAGGACGTAAGGATTAAAAATGTGATCCTTTTTCGGCCGCCCGGAGGCCTGCTATATGAAGGAAGGTTCCTTAGCTGTCTTATTTGATTTCCTTTTATTTGTGGTGTGTGGTCACACCTAATATTCACACCTAAAAGCACGTGCCAGTGCTTTTAATCATATGTAAATGGGTCAGTTTAATATAAATAAAGCAAATGTATATTGCCCTTCAGCCAATAAAATACGAGGTAACAGAAATCGGCCCAGAAATCTGTAAGCAAAGTCCAAAAACGGCTTGGGACGTCCATAGCACTGGGTATCAAGAAAAAAAAAAAAAAAGACTGGCGTAGCAGCGTACAGGAAATCGAGAAAAGACGTTTATAGCAGCGAAAGGGCTAGAGGCAAATATTTTGACTGCTTGTGCTGCCATTATTTATGTCGATTTCTGTGTTGTCGAATGTGTACTCTTGTTTTGCCTTTCTTCCTCTGCACCTAACAGTACCAGTCAGTGCATTTCAGTTGGTTAAACTTACTATTGAATGTTAATCATGCTATTGCTTTTCTGGCAAGGCACTTGAAAACTTCATTTTCTTCTCTACTTCTATACAACTAAATTAATTGAACTCATGCAAGTAAAAATCATCTCCAAAATGTTATTTTTAATGTCAGTCATTATAATTACTCCTATCTTTAAATGAATCATGCAGTGTTGCGGCGCCTCCGAAAGACATTAAGGAGCCTGAGGAGAAGATACGGAAGGTGAGTGAGTTCCGACAGAGATTCCTGAGCATGCAGCTAGCACAAGACACTGAACCCGACGGTGTGGAACTTGAAGTAGAAATCTCCTGTGAACAGGCAAATAACACTGATAAACTTAAACAGGTACAAGTATGTGGAAGCCCCGTAGACCTTAATGCTAAAGAAACAGTCAACGTGGAAGGTACCAACGTGGACCCCCAGCAAGCGACAGAAAGCCAACACTTAACGATAGACTTAAAAGATGGAAACTCACTAAAAGCTTTTGTTAGCTCTAGCAAGACTGGTAAGTCGAGGCAATATTTATCGGTTGTAATCTTTTTTTTTTCTTCCTCCCTGGAGTTTGTATCCACGATAAGCTTCTCCAGTGCGCCTCCCTCTCTCTTTCTCTCTCTCTCTCTCTCTCTCTCTCTCTCTCTCTCTCTCTCTCTCTCACTCACTCTTTCTCTCTCTCTCTCCCTCTCTCTCTCTCCCTCTCTCGCTGTCTCTTGTGCATGACCGAAGAGGCACAAAACACAAAGGATCTAGAGGAGACAAGCTCGATTAAAAAACCATTAGCCTACGGTGTACCTACGAACTAATTTGCTGAATGACTAGAGGATATACAGTCGTGGACGAGGAACGTCTGGTTAGTAGGTGGGCGCCAGGCGTATGGACTCATTCAGGACATCCTCTGCCTCTTCCCTAGCAGGCAGGCAATACTAAAGTGACCGTTTACTTCCTGCATTGAAAGGATATTTGCTATGGATTTTGATTTTAATAATAAAAATAATCCTCGCCAGAGCTCCGGAGTGCGTGCTATGTACCATCTTCAGGTGGTAACGGAGAGAGTAGGAAGAGGAGAGGACGAGGAATTGGATAGACAAGACGACATAGAAATCGGAGAGCCGAAAACCGGAAAGTCAGGCGAAAAATGAAGCCTCTAGGATTTAAGCAAATTGTAGTGGATTACTGGAATTGTCGTAGTGTTGAGCAGAGAGGGCCTGTACTGGAAAGACTGATTTATGACCTTGATATCATTATGCTGCAGGAATTAAATACAAATAGATATGAGTGTCCTGGATACATTAGTTATGTAAATACTACCAGACAAGGAAAATATGGGCAATGCCTGCTTGTGAAGAATGGGGTGAAACACGTGGTTTCTGACATGGGCCAGTGGAATCATATTACACTAGAGTTTCAGGGTATACAGAACGATAATCGGAACACTATCTGGAATATAATAAATGTTAACGCTGCGGTCGACTTTTTTGTCACAAAGGAACATTGGAATTGGCTCAACGAGTTGGAGAAAATCCCTGGTAATTAGGCTTGTCATTTGTGAGGATTTCAACGGAATCATAGGACAGCACCGGGGAAAATAGACAAGGAAATGCTTTAGCGAAGGCTATGGTGGACGCAGACGTAGTCTGTATAAACGATGGTAGGCCAAATATAATGGCAACGTGGTTTGCTGATGGTGAGACAGCTATTGATTTGGCGTTTGTTGCCTAGTCAGCCGTGCTGGACCCAAAATGGAGTGTCAAAAGCCATCATTGAAGTTACCATTTGCCATACATTGCCGCCATAATCTTGAGAACATTGATGCCTTTTTGGCATTTCACCACAACCGCCTCCAAGTGATCCCTATAGGACAGGCTTTTATCGAAAGTAATACCCAGGTACCTCAGTTTGTTTACTCTTTTGATGTTACTGTCATTAATTGTGTGTCTTGGAACATTAGCTCTTACAATACCATTGTCCAGAGAGCACTATAAACCGGCCTCTTTTTCTGAGTTGATGACAGCACTCATTTCTGCATACCAGTGAGTCACTTTGTCTTACAGTTGCCTGCAGATCTTAGCTATCCGTTGTCTATCATTCCCTTGCCTATATGCAAGAACATCATCAGCAAATGTCAATATCCTTCCAACGCCTGATGCTTTAAGTTCTTCAGTCTTGCTTATATACACATTAAAGAGCACCGGTAAAATTGCAGAACCATGGGGTAGTCCCGGGGCTGTGTCACATGGTTCTGAGGTCCTGGTACTAGGCGAAGGGCAACAATACGAGAATGCAGGACAGCTGCTATCCAGTTCACAATCCAAAGACAAACCCTCTTCTCCCTGAGTGCAGATATCAAAATATCAGATCTGATTCTATTGTAGGCATCCTCAAGATAAATTTCTGCCACAACTGTCTCGTGTCTGTTCTGGAACCCTTAATGAACTTCAAAAGCAAAAGTAGCTGCATTAGACCATCTATATTTCCGTGGCCGTTAACTACCCTACATTTTAGTCAGCAGCTCTTCCCTTTCCAAAAACATTTGTAGGTTAACAGCTATAATCTTCTCCAGCACCTTGGCAAAAGTATTGTGTAGGGTAATAATCATGAAACTGCTGAGTATGGTAAGTTCTTTGCCTTATTTTGGGGGGGGGGGGGGGGGGGGGGGGGGGGGGGGGGGTGGGGGGGGGAGGTGGAATCAGGTAGCTGTGTACTCAATTCTGGGATACTGACGCTGTTCTGACGCTGGGGTTAAAGTGAAATGCCAACTCCCTCAAGTCTTTATTACTCTTTGTGTCCGCATACCTCACTCCATCTGGCCCTGGCAAATTGTATTTTGCTTTTTTTTTTTTTTTTGCAATTCATATTTTATATCCTTCACCAGAATGATATCCTAGAGAAAAAAAAAATATCATTGACAGTATTAAACAGATTATCTCTAACTGAATTTCTAAGCTCCCTATAATTATGATCAGTTTGGGCTATAAATCTCTTCAACAATTCTTTTCCTTTGTATGTTTTCATTGACATACCATTATCAGTGTTCATAAGCCCTACTACAATAGGCCGATCCTTCCTTTGCATCTGTCTGTGCAGTTTCCAAAATCTAACCAGTGATTTATCACATCCAATTTCGCTCACAAAATGATTCCATTTAGCCTATTTTTGCATCTGCTGCACAATGCTCAAACTTCTACTTTTTCTCTTCTAAGTGTAAGTTGACACTCTGGGATGAATAAAGGGACGTCGCTGTCGCTAAGGAATTACGTGCGAACAGCGATACAGGCGGACAGTTTCTTATCAGTTGTCCGTACTGGTGGCAGAGCACTTATGGTTTAAAAGGGGTCACTACACGGCATTTTTTCCCCCCAATTTATGACAAAAATATCACTTTTTCAATGTGTTCATTTTTGTAATGTTCGGCATTCATAGAACAGATTACACACAACATTTATGTCATTGGTAAACAGTTTAGCATTGAAAAGTTAATACTAAAGACACCAACCCATGCACTTTTATAAGATAAAAAAAAGTTTAAAAGTCACTTTTCTAACAATTCTATTTTTCTGTTTGTTGTGTGTGGGATCTCCTAAAATCTCAGCTAATATAAAGACTAGAGACGTGAAATTTGGTGTGGACACTCCTAACACAATATTATAGGGTCAGGTTTATTTGAAATTACAGTTTATTGAGTTATTATAAAAAACATTTGATTATTAAATAAAAAAGCTACATTTTTGTATTTTTTGATCATACCAAAATTCTAATATTCGATTAAAAAAAAATATTTATAAACATGTTTGAAGTAAAAAAAAAACTAGACCTGACCCTAAACATAAGTTTAACGTTCATGAATCGATCATCTGTTTCTTAATACCTCTGTTTGTTTTTGAGATTTTAGCTGTCTAAGTACTTGTTTTTTTCATTAAGATGGCGGCTGTTGCCATGGCAGCCATGTTTTTTTGTTAACTTGAAGTATGCAAATGTAACAACATACATCCCTACAAATGACCATTATAAAATAATTAGTCTAACATTGTAAGTAAAAAAAAAAATTTTTTCCTGTAGTGACCCGTGTGCAATGACATAGGTTTACATCTCCCGACTTTACATTTACATATCCTCTTGTAAACTGTGAGATGGATTTCACACTTTCTGTAATTGATTAACTACTGTTCCCTTCTCTCTCCATACCTGGTCTACTTCTTAGGCCCACCATGGAGACTGCACAAAAGCAGAGATGGTGATTCTGCTGCATACCGTCTGTCGAAGGCGTCCAAAAAGGGTACAGACCCTCTGGTAGTTAGAGTCTTGAGCGTATTCCCAGCCCTGATCTTGTTGGCTTTGAAAGTCAAGACTGAATGTGACCTATGGTCATTCCAATGTTGTTACACTGTAGTAGACTTGTAGTCAATGGTAGTTGTCGTCTATGTTTTATGATGCATGCGTTTATGTAAGTTTGACTTTAGGTCCAAAAATCTTTTGTAACTAAACAGTTTTATTGTATCACCTGATGCCGTAGCCTTGCTGAATGCCGTAGCTTCCACCTATGCCTTTGCCAGATGTGATGATGTAGATAAACCACATGCATTAGCCAAAGCTTATGCTGTAACCAAACATGAAACCGAACCCAAATCTGATGCTTTAATGAGAAATGACAGCCAAGTGGCATTTGATAAACACTTCGCAAGTACAGTATACACGTAAGTAGTCTCCAGCGAAACATGTGAATGAATGAATGCAAGAATAAATCATTGCACTTGCTCTGTCCATCCTCTTCAGTTGATATCCGAAAACTTTGACACCGATGGTGCAGGTTATATTATGACTAAAGGTCGCCTGTTTTAGCATATTGTAAGTTTCTATTTCGCAGAAACGCCCTAATAATATAATATACGTGCTGTTATTAAAAGAACAAAACTTGATTCTTTTCTTGTTTTCGAGTCTCATTTTGTGTTGTATTTAGTGCTCACTGAAGACTTCGGCCGAAACGCTGGGTTGTATTTGTGCGCGTCGCTTTCATTCGCTCCGTTGAGTTTTCTTGTCACTTTTTATGTTGCCTTTAGTAAAAAGCATGTGCGTCTAGAATATTGTAATTTGACAAACACACATTTTAAGCGTTACAATGTTTGACTTTGGTAGTCATGTCTATCAACGGCATTCGGATTTCTACACTGTCATTTATTTCTTAAACATATTCTTTCAGTTCGAAGTAAATGCATTAACAGTGTGAACTCAGAAACTAGATTGCCACCTTCTAATCAGGGTAATCAGTTCTCTTCGTAAGTTAATATCTTCCAAGACATCATCCTCATTATCCACTGTTCATTTTCGGGGTATCTGTTTCGTTCTTTTTAAAATCACACCTCTGCTGCGTCCACTTAATTTTTCCCAGATGCCCTACTTTTTAACCTTCTCTATAGTTAATTATCTTCACAAAACACAGCACGTCTCTATAGCGCCAAATTACACCCCCTTCCAAAATAAGTTATTGCCATTTTTGTAAACTGTTCTTTGAGCTGACGACACTTGACGGCATCTGGTTGTCATGAAAATACCTTGTGCGTATCACAATAGCTTTCCAGAAATCTGCATATGCCTCATATTTACTGTTATACCAGGCATGTTATGAGGATTGGCCTATGGTTGGGATTGAATGGCAGTTTGTCCCATCCGGGATTGCAGTTCACAGTGATAAAACTGAAGATAAGAACCCACATAAACAAATTCGGCTAAGCCGCATCCAAACTTAAGGTGATAATAGGATGCGGAGTAGCCTGAAGTCCGTAAATGGCATGAGCAATTTATAGGGTCACAGAATTTCACCTTTGACCAGAGGTCAACACTGGGATCTATAAATTCAGCTGCCCATTTGCAGACTTTACTGCAAAATCTGGTATCTATGTGGAATCATTCTACAAGCCAACTAAAGGTATACTGAGCTACAGTGCTCCAAGTGCTGCTGTATGCTTGTGAAACGTGGACTGTACATAGACACCCTGCAAAGAAGCTAAACCACTTCTATACAGTCTGTCTGGGAAAGCCACTGAACATCAAGCTGTATGACAAGATCTAAGGCACTGCTGTGCTTGACAGAGCTGCCATTCCCAGCACCGATAGAATCGAATCACAGATTCGACTCCCAAAAAATAATCTTACATGGTGAGATGCAGTGAGGTAGACCCCCTTATTTTGGCCACAAAATCACCAGAGAGGCATCACTTAAAACCTTCAGTATGAACACCTGGGAGGTGCCTGCACAGGACCGGACTAAACGTTGAAGATCTATCCGAAGAGGTGCAGCGACTTGCAAGGCATCTTGGGAAAATGTGGCTGAGCAGTAAAGACAGACTAGAATGACCTTAATAACAGACCCTTTACCTACAGACACCGTTTCCTGTCACTGTCACAGATGTTTCTGGGCCAATATTGGGCTTATACTTTATCTCCAGACTCCCAGCTATTAAACTATAGCGACTTGACGAGGGGGAAAAAGAGTGGTCATCATCACTAGTGGGGGACGAACACACTATTATGTGGGCTTCCTTTCGCTCATTTGCCTGTATTAGAAAGCAAAATGTCACCAACAACAGTAAAACTACGGTGCTCGCTGATATTTTTCTTTGCAAGTATATTAGTTTAAATATCAGTCAGGTAAGTGTTCGAATAAGGTAGAAGGAGGGTTAAGCGTGGGGCCAGCTTCCCAACTCTGTACAACATTAATTCATATTGGAGCTTGCAGGACGGGCAACCATTCCGGTGATTATGGAGACATGACTGGACAGGTTGTGAGCCCTGTAATGGCACAACAGCACAATGCTAACGATCGTGATGATGCTAGATAAAATAATAGATAGTCCTATTGCAGAAACTGTAGTTCAGATGTCTTGTGTTTGGACTTCACAGATTTTAGGACACCACATAGGGCAGACTGCCGGGGTTCGAAACCGGGGGGTTCCTGGGGTTAACACAGCATCTAGGAAATGGGTACAAGAATTAACACGTAGAGTAAATGCAGGAACTTCGCTGTACATACAGAGTTACATGCGGACGGCGACACAGGCGGACAGTTTCTTTTCAGCTGTCCGTACTGGTGGCAGAGCACTTATGGTTTATAACAGTGTGCAATGACGCCGGTTCACATCTCCCGACTTTACCATTTACCTTAACATAGGGCAGAGTGGCCAGTTTGCTTCCTCGTCTTTGTTCCTTTTCGGAAACTTCACGAACACTATAATGGTGTTCTCTGATGTGACACAGGGCCAATCACCGGTGAGGGGGCAAGTTTCTTATAGTTCTAGAGTTTAATCAAGACAGCTGCTTTAGCAGTCAAATGCCGTAAAAATATCATAGATTTTCTTCAGCAGATATTTAGGAGTGCGAGGCAGCGTACATGCTGATAGATAGCTGCCGACGCTCCTCTGGGCAGTGAGCTACTTCATTATAAAGCGGACCTGGTGAATCCATACATTGAAAGACTAATTTGTGACTCAGTGATTTCGGCACTGAGTTGAGAGAAAGTTGAGGACGTTGTTGTAATCAAAAGAGGATACTGAGTACCTCGCTTCAGGCGCCAGCAAGGAGTGTGCTGGTTTTGCAGATCATCATACAAGAAGTCTGCCACACGTCCTCCTCGTGCATGAGTGTTCCATTTAAATCTAGCTAGCAGGAAATCACGAAGTGTGTTGTTCCCAAAAAATGTCCAGTTTGTCTCTTATCATTCTCCCCCTCGCCCCCCACCCCCCCCCCCCCTTCCCAATGTTCAGTCTGTCTCTCATCAGTCTCTCCCCTCCCCCCACCCCAATTCAAAAGTGAGAAGGTCTAACAAAACTCATTTGGTACATGAAGCCGTATAGCTTAATATCCTACGAAATTACAGTTCTTGGTTAAAACGTTTGCTGAATGAAAGAACTACGGAAATGCTTAGACTCGGCCATGGACAAAGCGATTTGCTTGCAGCTTAGTGGAGCGTTTCCTGCAGGCGGTATTTTGCAGTACAGTTCTGTCTGGGTGCATCCGTTGGCAATCGCCAACGTTATCGTCATATTGTTGAGGTACACCACAGCAATCTACTAGTGTCAATCAGCTGGTTACACATAAATGTCTGTCAGACACATGGCATGCTAGCGAAGTCTCAAATATCTGGTCGTCAAAAGTCCTTATGTTTGGAAGAACAGTTCAAATGTCAGTTACCATTGGCCTCGCCCACCAGAGCGCCAGGTCCAAATAGGGAAAATTATACCCGATGCATGCGTTTCCATGATTTGGTGCTGAATGTCTAGTTAAAACAAGGATAACAGTGTCTAACGTTCTGTAACATAATTGTACATATTTAAGTGGTCATCAACGTCCAGCGATGACATGCGAGCTTCTTCCTGTTGATCTCTGAAGGTCGCAGCTCGTGATGAGTGGGAAGCTCAACACAAGGATGTGAGGATAAGTAGTCACGTGCAGAATGTGGGGATTACGCGGGGAAAGTAAGGGCTAACACAGTACCAGAGCTCGACATTTACGGAAGCCTCTGTGGATAATGAAAAATGCCCATGATTTGCTCTTTTTTTTTTTTTTACCATGATGGCTGGAATTATTATATAACCAAACGGTTGAACTGGGTGTCTGATACTTTCCGCCTAGGTGATTCTCATCCGACTGGTAGAAATTTGTGTCGCCATGTGTTTATTGCTGATTGTGCGATCCTAGTGGGGTTGAACTTCATTTGTTGATTGAGGGTCGTCTAGTCTATGCATTGTGGCCTGTACAGATCAACATCTGTAGACAGGGGAACAAAAACAACACCACACACATACAAACATGCACACTCAACACACTCTCACATGCACTACTTTCCCCCCCCCCCCCCCCCCCATCTTTACACACACACACAGACACAAAAGACTCGTCATGTTCCACGAAACTATCTGGGAAGTTAATCCGATCAAGAAATTCTCGATGAAGTCTGATGTATCGGTTAGAAGGCCCAAATTTCGCAGCTGGGTTGTAGACGGGCACAAGGTAATTACGTCCCTCAGACGAACTAAAAGAAGACAAAGAACAAAAAAATTTAACGTGGAGAGGGGGGGGGGGAAGGGAATTTGTTATACGCTCTGGAAGATAATTAACACTAAAGGAAAAACAGAAAGGTCGCAGCTGATATTATTAGAACATCGACTCTTCTTTGGTTACTGAAGAATGAGAGGGAGCACTTATGGAAATATCCGCAGTGCAGTGATGCCAGTTTCTGATTCATTCATTTATTCATTCATTTACGCATTATTCAGTATGCCACCGGAGTGTGTACAAAACTGTATTAAAATACTATGTCATATTCTATGTTACATTGTGTTGTGAATATACAGGGGAAACACATAATTCTCTACAGGCTGCCATGGTGGTTCATATACGTGACATGGACCGTACTTGCCTTCTACAACCTGTTCCTCGCCTACTATGTCATCTTGTATGGTTTAAGTCTGGGCTATGAAAGGAGCGTTGACTGGGCCCTGGCATTCTTCACGGGATTTTTTTCGAGCGTGTTTTTTATTGAGCCAGCAAATGTGATCTTTATGGTGTTTATATTAGTGCTTGTATTTCACCAAGCACACACTATCAAGGATCATGCTCCAGTGAAGCGGCTGTGTGAGTATTTATAATGATAATTCCCCATGATACATTTAGCAGCTTGTATGTAATCCTTTCTTTAACAGATGAGGTGAACAAAGAATATAAGTAAAGCAAAGATTCCTTTTCACGCCTTTAGACCCATCGTGTATATTGGAAGAGCACCCATATTTTATAGACCAATCGGTATTAGGTGGGTAATGTGGTCAGCATTAAGCTGGCCGTCTTTACTTCTACATAACAAATATCCCGGTACCCATTTTATGATGGGTCGACCTGCGACGCCCCATACCATGATAAAAATCCACGCAGCCAGCAGTGGGTTTCGATCGAGGTACGTTGGAGCTAAGTGTCGGACTCCTAACGCATAAACCACGAACGCCGCCATAAAATTATAAGGATGTTGGAAATCTTAGGGTACATGCAAAAGTTACCTTTGGTCGGTACTGTAGTGTTCGAGATATTTGTTAAAGTGTGAGGGCGCGCTTTTGTAAACGCAGTATATAGAGCAAGGTATAACTCATTACTTATTATGTTAACGAATTAACAAACAAAATTATGGATGGACATGTTAAATTTGTAAACTGGTGTTTCCTTCAAAAGTATGCTCACAATTTAAAGTATTCTAAAAATATGATTTATTGATTTCATTCATTTTGTCTTAACCGCATGCATACAGCACAACCCCGTTTCGCTCATGTAACATTTCTGTGTGTATATACCACATGTCAAGAAAAGATGCATTAATGATGCTCACATATGTGGCTAATTCAAGTTACATATAAAGCTGAGCAAGACTGTTAAAGTAGCAATAATAGATGCTGAAACACAAACACATCCACCAATTCGTGCACGCACACACACGCATATATATATATATATATATATATATATATATATATATATATATATATATATATATATATATATATATGGAGAGTACATATTTTGTGCAGATGAAGGGATCAAGCTGGTACAAGAAAAAAGCAAATTCAATCGGGAATTCAGAAGCCTGTTACCTGAAGTTCGCTGCAGACCTCCACTACGTACAGCAGAGGCTGCGCTTGTCATTGAAAGACATGCCATTGAAAAAGCAGCCAGAGAGGTTAGCTCAGTCAGGTCTTGTAGGTGTTTGTGTGTGTTCGTGTCGTGTGCCAAGTTTATCTGTTTTTTTTTTTTTTTTTTGTAATTGATTGTATACTTATTAATAATATGGCTCGTTTGATTTTCTGAACCTCGGATTGTAGCTGGTTTAGGTGGAAAACACCGATAGGCAACTTCTTCAGCATGGTTTATCCCAGTCGTATATGTTTTGCCTTTCCTTTGGAGTGAGTAAAACATGCTGACTAGGGGGTCAAGCTGGAGGAACCATGTGCTATGGAGAGGAGGAACTAAATATAAGCCTCAGTTAGTACCAATATGGGGTTGGATTATCATGTGTACCTAACAAACAATGTAAAACTATCGCCTGTCAGCAACGAAGGTCCTGGCCGCCGCTAATACTGAGAAGAAAATGCTTTTGTTTCTGTTCCAGGGACTTGTACTTTCTCCCATTGAATATGCTCTTGCCATCCTAACTGTCAGCTATATTTAGATTAGAGGACTTAGGAAGGTGCAAGATGAAGCAATGGGCTTTATTCTGGGGTGCACTAGAGACACCTCTTGTGTAGCAATGAGGTACCTTCTTGACTTTCCTACCATAAACTAGAGGACCAAGATCTGGAGCACCCCCCAAGATAAGCTCAGATTTGGAGCACCCATTATTTTTCTACTTTTGAGGGTTTATTTAATAATTGTAATCTGTTCTTTTGGTTTGCGGATAGAGCCATTGTCGTACTGTGGAAGATATTCAGCCCCACCACGTATTATTCTAAAAGACTGTATTTGGTGTACTGTAGACATCCTTGTCTATGGAGGAATACAATTTGTTTCGTGGTTTTAGAGCAGCTTTAGGAAAAGATCGCGGTCTCATTACGTAATATTTCACATAAGACAGACTGCAGTGGGTACACTGAAGCTAACCTTTATTGTGAAGACAGCATATAATATCAGTAATAATAATAATAATAATTATAGTAATAATAATAATAATAATAATAATAATAATAATAATAATAATAATAATAAACGGGTATCCCGATAAAATGTTTGGAAAAAAAGCAGCGACGCAGAATCAAGCACATAGCTGCCCAAGTCAACATACAAATGGAAATCATTACTTCTACAACTGTAGTCTCAGCACTTTGTTATAATTTTTCCCCGCTAAATTTGGTAAAAGTAAGCACTGAAGGTATCATCTAAAGGTATCCACACCGATAATCATCCCTAGTTGTAACTTCCTTCAAGAACTTTGCTGCCATTCACAGGTAACAGAAAAACTACCTATCCTTCATTAGTTGGCTTGCCAAAACAAGTTCATGCACAGGAGTCCTTTAATGTATTGTTATCGTAAACATAGTATTTAGATGCAATCTTCTCTAAAAACCACATCCTTGTGGCTCGTTCTCCCACGTACAGTAGGTAACGTCTAACTTGACCAAATCACTGCTTTTGTTAAATATTCTCGTTTAATTGTTTACGATCTGTAAACGGGTTACAGACTGACGGATAATGCTTTATTATATGTGAGTGGCTAGCAGTGTTTGCATAAGGAATTGTATTTGGTCATGAAATTGACCATCCAGATCCTCTGGTTATTAAAAAGCAACACTTGAGCTTATGTTTTATTATAGTGTACTAATATTATAACGCACTTCGGTTCTAATATAATGCACATGTATTAATTTCAGATTCTCAGAGATTTGCTATTCTACACCCTGTTTATGTTATCCGTGATCCTGGTTGCCTATGGACATATAGATGTCCAGAGTCAGTTTCTACAGACCCAGTATGTGAAACACAAGTTTCTCAAAACGCCATTTTTGAAAACTGACTTGAGCAAGGTACACATAAATACATTTGGGGGTGGGGGTTGCAGTACACTTGTTGTTTGAAAACATTAAATACCAAATAATGTCGTTACACTTGTGTGCGAGTGTATATATATATATATATATATATATATATATATATATGTGTGTGTGCGTGTGTGTGTGGTGTGTGCCTGTGTGTGTGTGAGTGTGCACGCGCGCGTGTGTGTGTGTTTGTGTGTGTGTGTGTGTGGTGCTTAAGTGCATTCCCTAACTCCTAAATTAGTTTCAGCTGACCGGCTACCCTCTCCTGGTTTAGCCAGCCCGTCAAAGCTGTTGCCCTGGGAGTGGTCGCTGCCACATGTGGGTATGTGTTTACATATATGTGTGTGTGTGTGTTTGTATAAGAACCTTTTTCACTCCTTCAGGTGTAGTGGGCATTTGGGGTTAGACCTATATTTTATAGACCAATCGGTACTCGATGGATGATGTGGCCAGAACCACGCTGACTACCTTTACTACCCAGGACTGTACATATCTACATAGACCTACCAGGGCACTTACCTGACGCCTTTTCAAAACCTAATGCTGAATGAGTAGGACCGAGCCAGAAAAGACGAACCAAACGTTCTTCTTAGAAAGTGCATGTAAACGATTTTTCACTAAAAGCAGTCTACCTCTGGACTTGATTCTTGTTCCAGACTTGGGTCTTGTGAGCACATCCGTTTCACACATCTGGCTCTTTGTTATGCAGACTCTTGGTTCATTGCCTCTCTGGCAGACATACACCGATTTCGAATGATGTGCCCAACTAGTAGACAACTACAACATGCGTGTTGGAGAGGTCTATTCTTGTTTTTAACACAGTTGTCGTGAAATGATAGTCATTACACATCGGTTTGTAAGGCTGATAACCTGTCTTACCTGTAATCTGCACAAAATTCAAACTTGGACTCACCCAGAAATATATAGTCCCTTATATCTATATATATAGGCCTGTATTGGACAACATTATTATGTCTGCCTTTTCTGGTTACTTTAACTAAACTCCACTTTTAAATGTATTTCTTTTGGGGATATATTTAGGGAGTTAATTGAGGTTTCTTAGAAACCGATTTACTCCTTGCCCCAGTATACAAGGAACTTCTTTTGTACCAACGCCTGAATTGTCTAACTGACGCGATTCTCCTTGCCAGCTTCTCAAGCCTCCAGATGTGTTAATCTGTGCCTGTATACTTTAAATTTTCAAGGCAATCTGGAAAGATCTCAGTTTTACATATGCTTGGGATGTATATTTTCTGAAGAGCTGGCAGAAGATTCACAGTCTCAACAACATCCACTCACCAACATCCTACCACCAGAACCAACTTGTTACCCACCAGCTAACACCTGTGAAGGTTCCTGACATCTCAAAAATGGGGGAGATTGTGCCTCAAACAGCTACCAGTGCCAGAGTAATGTGGCTCTAAGACATTGTGTGTCCTTACTGGTGATATAGACATGCTAGATACCAGTACAGTTGCTGTACAGTGAAGTACTCTTGCTACTTGATCCAGTGGAGCAGAATTCCCAGAGTCAAAGACAGTCAAATCATCCGGAGCTGAGGGAGGCATCATAGACAGAGATAAGAGAAGATAAGTCTAATGCTTCGCATGATGTTGTGTTCCTCACAGCTTCCTGTGTGTCCAGTGATGAGAAGATTTCCCCTCCAGGACCGGCTGTCTGCCTAGTTTCCTTAGGATTTAGACATTAGTGCTGAAATTCTTTCACTGATAGCTGGAATTCACTTCAATTGTTTTTGTACAGATATTATACTAAATACATGCATTCATTTTATGGCTGACTTAGGTTCTCTATGTCACCTTCTTAAGTGTTTAGCAGTTGTATGTGTATGTATCTTCATT